GAGCAGATAGTTTGCATAATGCAGAAGTCACGGGAGCGACACATCCACAGTTGCCCGACAGACGGACAAGGAAGTTCCCTTTTACTGTTCGTATAGTCATGCAAAATTTATTTATAATTTACAGATGTTTTCGAGTTATTTTTTCTAAAAATTGCTCTTAGTGACAGGGGTAAATAATCCCGGTAAATATTATAGGTGTGTCGATTTTTTTTAAATGAAAATATATTTTTAAAAAAGGTTGATAACATATGTTATGCATTGTAATTAAAAACTAATGAGGGTGGTGCAATAAATTAAAAAAAAAACTGTATTTTTTTGGAAGGTATTCCCGCGGCAACTGTTGCTTTACGGATAATGATTAATTATATCTTTCATCTAATTGAATGCAGAACACTTGATAATATTATATCTTGACGTATCAGCGTGTACGTTATTCGATTCAATGGATAAACGAATAATTAATAGTGTCACATTAATAAACCGCCTGAAGTCGGGATCCTTTCCAATGTACCGACACCACAGATTTTTTCCTTATGGTCTATTTTTCAATTTGCGGGAATTTTTTACCGTTTTTAAATTTTACACCCGCTGAATTATCTTAATCCATTTCGCAAGGATAATGATTGTATTCCGAAAAAAGACACCATTTAAATAAGTCGAACGTGCGCAAAAAGCGGACCTGATTGGAACCGAATGCGGTACCATTAATCACAGCTAATTAAAATGTTAATTAAAGAAACGCAAACAAAATCGAAAAGAAACGAATTCTACCTGTTATCCTAATAAACTCGAGGGAATTAATAAAAACGTACACATGCCATGACGAAAAAAAACTCATCATCAGGATGCGCAAGGTCAAAATTTAGGAACCAACTGGACCTTTCTAAAACAACCAAAAAAAAACTAATTTAAACAACCAATATAATCTAGAGTTAGAGAGTAGTAAGAAAATGATTAGAAGGAGCATTGAGAGACTCGAAATGAATTTATGCGCAACACGTAGGAAAGAATTTTTGTTCGATTTTCCGGTTCATCGGGCTCACCGTGCGACCCTCCTTCATCACCCGCCATACCATCTGCCATATGGTAACTCTAAACCATGCTGGGATCGCTCGATTTTCGATTAGGTCCGATATTATTTCGAGCGGGTACGCGAGCACATAATCGTGTATTAAATTCGTGAAGAATGAAAAAAAAAGAAAGAAAAAGGCGCGCTTCGATTATGGTAAATTTAATGGGGTGTGCGGGTATTTGAAACACGCCAATCCGTCCCTGGAAATCGCCTTCGCAGCGCCAGCGAACTTGTAATTCAAACAAACAATTGATATTTAAATCAATTCAATCACAGCGATTCCGATTGAACAACATCGACAACCAACAAGAGGATAACAAAAAAGAATCCAAAAAACCGAAAGAAAAAATTGTAGAAGAAAACCGTACCACCCACGGCATGTAAAAGAGTGAAAGGGGGTGTGAACTTTTTTGTATGCAAATCCGGCCGGAGGAATATGAATGAAGGGTGTAACGTCGAAAGCATACCGAGAGGCCGAACCTTCGAAAATTACTACACATTTAAGTTCACTAAACAGCTTTCCAGCGAGCTCCGATGACGACGCGACAACGACGATGACAAGGTATAAATTATGTAAGGAATGGATTGAAGGAGAAAACAACATAACTGGCGCATTGTGTGCGAGATATCGAGTGCTATTTCTTCGGAACGAGCGTGTGCGTAAAGTATTTATTGTCGAAAATACAGTTATGTATAACGATGAAAATTCTTGCCATGGAACCTTTGATAAAACTGTAGTAAGTAATGAGTAATTTATTAAATAGACTACAGGTCAACAGAAGTAGCTGAACACATCAAGGTTTCTATAATAATTAATCAAATCTATAAGCGATTATAATTATCTAGCTCATTCATCTTCTACATTGTGCTACTCCTCTTGAACTTCACATAAATACCAACAAAGAAGCATCTTCCTATAACAGGTGTCTAATACTGTTGTCGTGACATACTCGTATACATAGTATGATAACACAATTCTTATTCCGTTCATGATACGACAGCCAGACGTAATTTGTAGGTATTGTAACAAGATCCAGTGCACCTAAATACATTTTCTGCATGTGTCAAGTCGACTTCGTCTTAGATTTAATGCTCCGCCATAAGCCATAAGCATAGACCGGATCGTTTCGAAAGCGACACACCACCTTTGAATTATTACTCCGGTGTTTATTACACATTCGCGGATATGCATTACGCAGTACGTATGCCCGTATATTGCTTGCAGTAATCGCCGTTTGATATTCGGAAATCTTGTTACCGGTGAAATGGATAATTCCATGTTGGTACGTTAACTCTATTAGGAAATGTATTAACGTTCATTAGTTGTAATTCTCGATGTATTGAAAATTACATTTGAAAGATTTGTGCTTGTGGATATTTAATGAATATGTATACCATCAATAAACTACATATTTAATTGAATTTATCATTCCAGTAGTAATAGAAAAAGACACTTAGAGTTATTCTATTAAGCTACTGAGTCATATGTTGCAAAAAAATCAATTCGAACGGCATTGGAAGCTGGGTTTTTTATGGGAATAATAAAACACTATATCAAATTACAGGAGCAAAAGTTGGAAAATTGCTTCCGCATTCGGCGTTTCTCCATTTCAAATGGAGAACGCTCCGTTCCAGCGTTATAGACAAAACGTTTTTTTTTTCTGGTCCCGAGTAATAATATTTCTGGAGAACACACAGCCGTGCAATAAATTCCGAAACAAAGAAGGTATGCAATCGGGTATGCTTCTGCCCCAAAGTAATATATCTTGCTATCTGCCCCCCTCGGTTCAGTTTTTCCTGATCCAACAATATAGAGCCCATCTAGCGCTTTCGGTTTTTATTTTTATGTGTGTTACACTTTTGTTAAGGGAGCTTCGCGAATTTGGTTCGATGCGACCACAGTAATGGACAGAAACTGTATTAAAGATCTCTTATAGAAAATTTAGAATGTTAATAACGATTTTAAATTGTAGAAAAAGCTTTTATAATGAAATATTGTATGTTAGGAATGAGAGTTTAAGAAATTCGAATTTAATGTAGGACATTAAAAACGTCCGTTTGTATAGGAAGATGGGCTCACAACGTTCCTATTCTCAAACGGTCTCGCTTGGATCATTTTTAATTTCATGGACCCATCGTCCGGTGCGCAAGAAAAGTAATTTATACCCTTCGAAATATCCCATTGTTTCCACCGGTATAATTGAAAACTGTATCCCGAGCAACCAAAATTAGAAGTTGGACTCCCCGTTCATTGTTCGCCGAAAAAAGGAACCCCTCCGACGATAACCAGGCGGTTTCGCGGGAGAAAAATCGCCTAATGGAGTGTCCGACCACCAGAAGAAGGTGCGCGAGCCCAAAGTTACGGTTCTCGGGGGAGTACTAAAGAAAAATGACGTCATGACCGGTCTCGGAGATCAGGGATTCATCTCGGGGGATTATGTCACGCCAGATGGCGACGAGGAAGAGGGTCCGGTTCCTCGTCAATCTAATACCTATCGCGCCGAACGAGGTCATCTATTGCACTCGATTTTTCCAGATTATTTACTGTTAATGCTAAGATTAACTGGAAATTCTCTCATGGTGTAATTTATAACCTATAGAAACAACATGATTTATGACGAAGCTGTAATAGTTTTTTGTATCTACAAGTTTTTGATGTAATTGTTTCGTATGGAGCCGTTTTAATTTACTAGTTTTGAATTGGAAGTCTCTTAAAATGCACGAAAGTTGTCAAATTGGATTTAACGCGAACAATGGGAGTACAGTTGACGTTTGCCATACGACCAGATACAACTCCTTACGTGAGGAAACTTACAATCCGGTATTTTGCAGGGGATCCGGGACCGAATTGTTGAGCTGCACCGACTTTTGCCCGTTTCCAAATGTGCATTTCGCGCACTAAACTTGTTTAATGTTCGCCGGATGTTGACGGCAGCTTGCGAAACGAATATGGAAACTCTCGTAAAGTTTTTCCCGAAGGATAGCGAAGAGAGACGGATCGACTGAAACAATACCATAATGAAGATGTTGTTTGCACGTTCATCCCGGTTTACGTCATTAATTGAAGACCTTGCTGGTGCATTTTTATAATTATTTTTGCGTCCTTTAATGTATATTTTACTAAATTCATTAGTCACTGTGGAATTTTTAATACGGTAAAAGTTAAAGGCGAATCATTTCATTGATTTCCAATAAGAAGTGATACTTCGAGTATTATCTTTTATGTATCTTTCAGAAAGAGCACGTACGAATAATCTGATTCCATTCGATAATCTGATTTCGAAATGCATTGAATCGAATAGTTTCATAAAAGCACTAATAAACAACAAAGACTCGGAAGAAGCCGGCGAACTCGTTGGAAAACTTTTCTAAAAATCAGCTAATTCCGGAGACTTTATAGCAAACCAAACGCTTTATTATGATTTTATTCGTTTTTTATTTCGGAGATATCGTCATATTCGATATTGAAAAAGTTTCCATCGGGAACAATTCCGTCGCCGAAAGTAAAAAAAAAGTAAAGGAAAACCCGTACTTCTAAAACCGATATAAATTCCCTCACAATCGACGGCGCAGATGCTCGTGGATTGTTCGCGAAGCGCAGGGAACTTTCTGAGCGATAACTTTTTAGTTCGAAGATTATAAATACTTTGTATAAAGTTAATAAAGCATTTTGCTAAGCTGCTGTCGAAACTCTTCATTTCGGCGTTTTCGATTTTCTTCTCCGTGAGTTATCATAAAAGTTGTACGTGTTCTTATAGTACCGAAGAATTGAGCAAATTTCAATCACTATCGATAAAATGTACAAGAATGATGGATAGTTCAGACGATATTTTGTTCATCAAAATGGTATTAAGGGAGGGTAAGGTAAAAGAATTTTGGAATGTATCGAATATAGATCGACCATATAGCCCAAAAATGAAACAAATTGAATGCATATCAACAATTTATTAATTCGCTTTCAACTAACATAAATTCACCATGCTCTCTAGTAGACGTAGTAGTATCTCTTGTGGCCGTGCTTACCAATGTAAGCATTACCTTTGCCTTGGGCGCTGGCGGAGCCGCTGAGGACGATTGGCAAATCTTCGATCCTGATTTCTTCAGAAGACAAAGCTGCATCTACTTGACCCTGGCCGTTGAGAGACAGTCCTCTGCCGATAAAAGCTTCTCCGTGCACGTCTCCGTTGGCTCCTCCGGTAAGACTGACGGGCAATCCCAAGATTTCTACGTCGATGGGTTCGACTAATTCAGCACCAGCACCGGCGTTTCCTTTGATTACGAGTTTCTGTAATTTAAGTAAAAGTATCGGTAATGATGAGAAAAGAAATTGAAGCTTAAACTGTGAATGAAAACTGCCATCTTACTCCGTTAGATTTTTCTCCATTGAAACGTGATTTACGCATGATAATGGCGCCTTCTTCTTCTGAATTGGCAGGAGCGACTTCCACAACTTCCAATTCGACTGGTTCCTCTTCGAGACTGTCTTGGAGAACGACTTTTTTCTGTGGAAATAAATGATTTGTAAAATGAACGAAGAGACTTAAAAAGCTCGTATATGCTGGACATATCATAGCTTCTCTACTCTTTAAGAAGAATGTTGAATAATTGGATAAGAAAATGAAAATTAGAGAAAAATTTTCGCTAGAGCAGGGAATGTTTGCTTACAGCGGTATTCTTTTTGCTCAGATGATGGCGTCTTCCTACTAAAGCGCTTCCTTGGGCAGATGCTTTGGCACTGCCGTCCAAATTGACCGGCATTCCCAATATTTCGAGTTGGATAGGATCATCCAATTTTGCGTTGCCCGCAACTTTTCCATTTAGAACAAGTCTCTGTAACCCAAATTACAGAATATAGAAAAATAAATAAAATATAATAAAGAAACTTACGGCTTGAGAAACAGCGACGAGGCTGCTGATGACAACAAAGAGTAGAGAGAAGGAGTTCATGATGAAGCTATTGTTAGTTGTAGACTAGCAAGTAACTGATGCCTTCAACGATTTTAGTTCGGCTATTTATACCGAAAAAATTAATTAAACTAGTACTATTAACACGATTTTAATACTTCGATAAGTAGTTTTATTTCTTAGATTTAACAATTCTTAATTTCCTCTGAGGAAATTTGCTTATTGTAATGAAAAATAGGCAAATAAATTTATAATTGTATTTATTATAGAAAGTTTCTACCTACTGTTCTAAGTTTTCTATTGATCGTTCATATTTAATCATATTTGTCTATCTTTAGGTTATTCTGCTGTCTACGTGCTTTATTTTAATAGTAATATTGATTTGAACTATTTCTGCCTGCTTATACTCTAAAGTTTGTTCTTCGGAAACTAAGGAATTACGATGGAAGTAATCCAACCTATGAATAATGAATATTTACGAATTTAATTACACTTATTTTTGTTACTTTTTCTTTGCTCTTTATATCTTTCTCTTCAATTTATTAGATAGGAAAATTGTTTATTTTAGAAAACTAAGTAGCTAGGAAGCTTCTCTCTTTATTTATTTATTACCTGTAAAGAATTTTATCTGCATTTAGAGTTTTTTTTAAGTTATAGGTACGTATTTAGCATGACAGTTGTACATTGTTTTTATGGACTAACTAGGGCCATTGTTTACGATAAATAGACTCTTTAAATGATTGATTAAAGTTAAAAGGGGCGCTCAATACTGGGCATTATTTACTAGCACCTTCAAAGACTACAGTGCTAGAGCTTCTAGGTTTTTTTCTACCAATAAAATAGGGGTCATATAATGTAGAATCAATGGTTAAAATAGTTAGGTGATTGAAAAAAATAAAATCAAAACAGTTTTTTTAACACTTTTATTAAGATATTGCAAGTTTATAACAATTATTCAATGAATTTTTCCTCTTTAATCATGATCATCCAAGATTTTCAAATCCTTCTAGAAATAGAAAGTCCAGAAGTTATTGAATTGCTTCTGTGCTACCTGTGTCTGAAAGTCTTCAGTCTGAAAAACCACAAATTTTATACGAAAGTAGAGAAATAAAACCATTAACTAAAATGAAAACCTCGTTACTACTGAAATCAGTGGATTCAGGTCCTTGGTCGATAATGTCGATATTATCATCGCCGCTCATTTGCTGAATTAAGCTCCATATAAAGGATTCTAATGGATGCACCGGAGCCGATTTTTCCGAAGGAGGTGTTCGTATAGCTGTAAACCCGCCTTCAGTTTTCACCGTTGCATAACCCTATAAATTAACGCTCTTAACGTTTATTTCTTGCTGAAGAATATTTATGGCGTATTGTGAAGATTCAAAATTGCATTTAGATGTGTACCTATGATTTATTCTGTATTGTATTGGACAACGTACTTACAGGCGATAAAAGTTTAAAAAATTCGAAACCATCTACAACAATGCTCGACATTGACAAGACCATTGTCAGCAGAAGGACAGTCGGATAAGTAGTGTTTTTGGATCTCATTTTTAATTCAAACTGTACGTATAGGATAATGAAACGAAATTGAAACACACCACGTTCGTAAACGCATGTATTTTATTAATTGTTAATTTTTTATTACCTCCAAACAATGCATTTGGTTTCGTTCGAAAACTTATTTCCGATGTTATTCAAATTTTACAAAGAGAGGGAGGTAGCTTTTCCTATATAAGGAGTTTCACTAATTCGTGGAGGTATAAGCATGAGAATTACGAATAAAAGAAGTCTGATTTAAATTTTTTTTTAACAATTCAGGTTTTTGAATATTATTATGGTAAGATATTTTGATTGAAATTTTCTATTAAATGTTCTTTCCTTAAGTATTCAGACTGTTTTCAAGTAAACGGTTAAAGTTGAGAAGACATTTAATAAAATTTTAAATTTATTGTAATTTGTAGATGTACCTAATTTTCTTTTTCCAAATATTGGAAATCCAATTATGGTGCAAGTTTTTGTTATTTCTATTTTTTTTTAATTCAACGTCGATTTTTTGGAACAAATAATTTGTTTCGAGTGCAAAGTAAACGAGCGTTTGTATTTTAGATTAAAATTTTTGCATGTATGTATTTATCTAGGTATATTTACTCTTCCGTACATCGATTGTTAATAAAGTAGTAGCATAAACAATTTAACGCCAACAACAGCTATTTAAAATATCCGGCCGATTTTTCCACATTTTTTGCTGCTTAACTCTCCGCAAACGACCTTTTGTTCCAAATTACGAGATTAGAATTTAATACTGTGAGAAAGCCGAGAGCTGGTTTGGTAGTTTAAAGCATTAAAAATCCGTTCCTCCTTTTTTCTTGTTTCCTATTCTTAAATACTCTTCCGTACATCGATTGTTAATAAAGTAGTAGCATAAACAATTTAACGCCAACAACAGCTATTTAAAATATCCGGCCGATTTTTCCACATTTTTTGCTGCTTAACTCTCCGCAAACGACCTTTTGTTCCAAATTACGAGATTAGAATTTAATACTGTGAGAAAGCCGAGAGCTGGTTTGGTAGTTTAAAGCATTAAAAATCCGTTCCTCCTTTTTTCTTGTTTCCTATTCTTAAAAGTTTCAATTAAACAACAATTACGTTTGCGAGGTTTACTTCAAAGCATCTCCAACGATATTAAGTTTCTTTATGCACCGAGTTGATTCTAATTTATATCTCGAAGAAAATCCAGCGGCGTCTCTAAACCAAATTTTTTAATGAAATATAAAATCGTGTTTTAGGGGTTAATTATTTTAGCTCTGTTTTACCTATTAAAGTAGTGTAATTTTCTGCCAGAAAATAATGTTTTTTCAGTTTGTATAACTTTGTTGAATGTATTTAATCCTTTTAGTTAGTAATAAAGTTTAGAGCTCGCCACTGGATGAAACTGTTGCTTCATTGTTGGGCTCCGAAATTTAATTTATCCTTTAAAGGATTTTCAACCGGGCACTTAATATTTAAGAGGAAATAACCTTTTATTGTGAAGAATTTCTTTGCGAAAATTCTCCTCACTTAAATTGAACTAATGAAAAAGGCTGCGCCGCGAGTCGGCTCGGCCTAACAAAGGGTCCCGTAATAAAGTTGCCCCAAAGGATTTTTCTACCGGATTGCGATTAGTTTTTCGACCTATTTTTAGGAGTGAAACCGCCGGTGAGGCGCCGCTGTGGTTTTTTTCTGCATTTTTCATTTTCCGCGTTCGCGAAACCGGCCAGATGACGAATCTTCGCCGGTTGCATTTTGCGGCGTTTCCATTCCCGGCACGTCGACGATTCCACATTCTTTATTCACCCTCAATTATTACTGAAATGTCAATTAATTACCGCCCTCCATAAATTTGCATTTCGTTCGGTTGGCTCCGTCTTCGTCTTCCCACCTTAAATATTGAATGATGCTCATTTCCATGCGAACGAGTGCAGTCGAGTCGACAACAGATCTCGAATTTTCCTCTCTTTTCTCTGACTTCATGTTAATTGGTCGACCTTCGCGTCTCAAAAGGCGTATTGATGGTCGAAGGGGTAGATATTTAATATTTATTTTTTGCAATGAAATTACGATTATTTTTTTTGTTGTATCAATCAAAGGTAAGGTGGATGAGGGTAGGAGAAATAAAATAATTGATGTCCCATTGATGGTCATTATAATGAATATATTTACAATATTCAGCACTGAAACTGACTAAGACGATGTTCAATAGAAAAATAACTTATATAATAGATAATAATTATAATACAATTAACTATATACAAAGAAAATTTTAATCGGACAAAGCATATATTTTGGTGTATCCCTTTTGTTTAGCTTTTAATCTGCGTTTTGATATATTTTCAGGTATTTAAAAAACGACAAACTAAATAACGAAAATAAAATTTTAGAAGTTAAAAAATGAGGAGCTCTCTCCAGAAAATTATAATTATATCCACAATACTTTAGAATTTAGAATGAAACAAATTTTTATAAGTTAATGTAGAATGAAAAAAAAAACTTACTTATCTATGCTTTAAAACATGCTCACAATTACCTACTAATTTTTTGAGTACACATTACATGAAAACTATAAAATTACTTTATTGCTTTTAATACCGTTTTGTTTCAATAATCTTAAGCATATTCGTTTCGTAAATACCCTACTAAATCTGATGACACCAAAAACATGCGACTCACAAAGCACGAAGTTCAACGAAAAAATTCATGGCTGAATTTTCAAAATTGTTCAAAGTAAATAAAAAAAAGTAGAATCTTTTTAATATTCACAATACTCGGTAAACTTACGGATCTAGTCATTAATTTTTCAATTTTTCGTCAAATTTTAATTTTATATACACATAAATATATTACAAAGTTGCCTCGTGATTTTAGTGGTGGTGGTAGTGAATAAAAAAAACGAAAATACTTATGTTAAAATAGGAATAAAAAATACACGTAGTATCACAATCACTAAAATGACGATTTTTTTAAATAAATAATTAACTCTAATAGTAAAATAACACAGTCAAAAAATGTACAATATAGCAGTTACAAAAAATTCGAACTATAAGAAAAATAGTAGGTAGCGTTGGAAAAATTTCTAAAAATTATAAGTATTCAATACTGGCACCGTTTATTTTTTTTTAATAAAAGTTATTGACTTGTTTCGTGACCAATCATTTTTCCAATTATCCGCTTTAATTCAAAAGGTAATAATCGTAATTAATTTTTGATAAAATTCAAATTATTTTACGTTCTGTATACAGAGTACGTCACATATTTTTTCGAATAATACAGATAGTGGGCCATGGAAGGAAAAAACCAGCTGCTACTTGATTCGCAAATGAAAAATATTAAAGATCCAATCGCGTCTCCTACCACTACTCCCCTCGCGATTGGCTAGCGATCGAGAATGAATACAATTAGAAATTGATAATTTTTTGTTAACTGACTAATTTTTATCACCAATTGCGGCGGGTGGCTCCTCCTCCAAACCGTGAATATATTTAGAGGAAGGTGAAAGTGGGATCATTATACTTGTTGTTTTTCTCCACTATCCGGAAAATTGTGATGTACTGTATAAAAATTTTTTGATTTACTACTTTTTATTAAATAATAATAAAATCTTCGTTTTTAAATGATTGGCGAAAAGGTAGGTAAAGTGCAAAAATTCAAGAAGACTAGTAAATTCGAAGCTTATTCAAAATAGATTTTCAAAAATTCCCCCAACACAACGATCGAACCAGCGCGTTTTACATCCTAACAAACCTCGACAGACGTATGATTTGGACTAGTTTTTTATACACACACATTTTTTATACATATAGAGATTGGATTTATTAAAATTTATTCTTCTAATCAGTCATCGAAAATTCGCCGCGTCTTTCTCACCTACTTTCGTCCGTTATCAGTCTTAAAGGAAACGAGTTTTCCTCGACGCGCGAACACCGCTCAGTAAGCGTCTCGGCTGTGTCACACCTCGACGGTCTTGTCGCTCCGGCTCGTTGTCTGACCGACCGGAAAAATCACATCCGGAGCCTCCAGGCCGCTCTTGATGGCCGCCGAAGGGCCCAGCACCGTGATTATCGGCTGGAAATCTGCAACAAACGGGAAAACCAATTTAATTTTTTACATTTAATATGCACCGACGGGTGCAGCTGAAAAAATCGTACTTGTTATGCCACCAACTTGTTGTGATTATAACAGAAGATTCGATGCAGTGGTGGGAACAGTGATTTTTAATGCGACCTATAGCATTAATGGAAAAATCGAGTGGAAGCGTTTCAATGAAACTCGAGTCAGGAAAACGTTTTGCTGATGCAAGTATTTCAATAAGGCGCTTTTTGGACCGTCTTTCGTTCGGAATAGGTTTTTAACATGATAGATGAAAGGAATCCGAGGAATCGGCGGCGACTCGCAGCCCTCAAGATAGAGAAACTGAATGATTTATGGATACGAATCCGAAAGTAGATTGAGATATTTTTATATTTTATCGCTGTTTTACGTCTGCCATCGAAAATAACGCGGTTGAGTACCCGCGGCGTTGAGTTTTAATTTGTTTGTTTCCTCTTTTTTTTAAATCACAAGTTTTTATTGAGCTGTGAAGGATTCCAATTAAGCGAGTCTCATAAATACCGACTTGTGGAAAGACGATTGAATTAACTTAGAAGAAAAAACAAATCGAACAGTCCTCGTACAAGAAGCTAAGTAATGGAAGTTGCAGTAATCAAAACATTCATTATTATGAGAACAAAAATATATGGAGAGCTAGAGCTCGTTTTGATGTGCATCTTCCGTAAAAAAGATAACAAATCTTCCACTTCTAAAAAACTAAATTCATAAAACGATTTACCAGTAAGATAGGGAATGAATAATAGTTAATTAAGTAATCAACCGGCATTGGTAAGGAGATTTTAGTTCTTTAATGCATGTAGGAGGTGCCGAGACGGAGGAAATGAATGCAGGCCATTTGTTCCGAACGGTTTTATTAATCAAACGGACGCTTTTAAAATTAATTCGAAACGAAAATCGACCGAGGGATTGTAAAAATGTAGAGACTTTTTGTTTCCTCCAACCGAACAAATTATTCGACTTTTAACGGGCATTTTAAAATCATGTAAAACGAGCATAAAATTCTCTCGATTCGTTATGCTGCGCTAAAGCAACATCTATAAATTAATCGTGTGTCATAAGGGCGATTTTCCCTTCTTTGAATCGCATGTTTCGAATAAATAAACATCGTCTTTAACGAGCTCTTATAGGAATCAAGAATTTCACGAAGGGAAGTCTTATATGGAAAACGTCTTTCGTTCGGCTTTAACGAACGAATAAAAAAACGCTCGTGCGAAATGAGAAACCGATTCCATGCAAAAATTCGACGTTTTATATTTCCTGCCGCAAGAGGAATTTTTTTAATGATCATTTTAACATTTTTGTTATTGTTTTTTTTATATACCGTTCCGGTATTTCCATTAAGAACGGAAAACTCATTTGAATATCTACTGAGATTATTATTAATTTTAGGAATATTTTCATACTGCATAAATATTTCCTCTAGCATTTTATGCACTTTGAATTTGTGCTTGTTGCATTTCAGCAATTTGAAATTTTTGCATTTTAGAAACGAGAAACAATTTATTTTCTTTATTACCCGAAGGTACAAGAAATAGAGTAATACAATAAATTATTGAGATTACAGACCATTTTCAATAACCCTATTAACCCAAAGAAAACCGAAATAAATTACAAGAGTTCCCCACTAAAAACCACTTCGTCAACAACGGTAATTCACCAACTAAAGAGGAAAATTAATAACGTCTTCGTGAACTTTGCATATTAACTCTAACCGGGTCGGGCCTCTCCAGCTATGACAAATTCGCGTATCCCAAGAACCGCTCCATCGATAAATTTATTACCAGAGGGGAGAAAGTTCGGTGTTTTCGTAAAAAAACACACACGCATACACATACACACATCACCAGCAAACGCGATGTGTAAACAAAGTTGTTTACCCGCCTTCAAAGGTGATCAATTAGGCAAAATATCATGACATGTCTATGAACGATCGCAGCCATAAACTAATTGGTTTGTTTTTTTAATGTTTCCCGCCGAACGGGCCCATACGCGTATGTACAACGCGCACACAAACACTGATTTTCTAGATAAAAGCTCCGCGTAATTCGTTCGCCACGAGGGAAAACCGTTTCGAATGGAGCCTGATCACGAAACGCTAATTTACGAATGGAAAACCAAACATGTTGTTTAACTAAAACCAACGATTCACTCACCTCTATGTAGCGGAAAGTCCTCCACCAGCTTCTTACTTCTAATCGACGTCGATCCCGTTATCATGTTATCGACGGCCGAGCCTCTTCTTCTGTTCTTCTGACACCTAAACACCGCTATCGCCAGCACGACGGCGAACAACAAAACGGCACTACACCCGCCCAAAATAATCTCCAAATTCCGATGGTCGCCGCGCGAATTTTTACCGCGCACGGCACTGAACAGAACGGACAGTAGCGGCGAGTTGCCCGTCGAATCTTCGTCCGGCACGAGGTTGATTTCGCTCTCTTCGGTCGAAACTTTCTGCAAGGCAACAAACGCTCGAGTTAGCAAACGCATTTTCTCAACGATATTATTAATAACGTACCTGCGCCCTGCCAGTGTCCAAATCCATCATGTCGGACTTCAAGTTTTCCACTCCGGGGATGCGGGAGACGAGCTCCACTTGGATGTGATAAATCGTGTCCGGCCATAGGGACAGAGTGACGCAGGTCGAATCGGTGAATAGGTTGCCCTTCAAGCCGCCCCCGTCGACCTCCCAAGTGACCAAGTACACGCCGTGATTGGCTCTCGGCTCCCAAGCGATCTCCGCTATGACGAGCACTTTCTGATGGATCAGCGAGATCTCCTTCAACGTCCACGTCTCCGGCCCCGACGTCTTGCTGGTGGTCGCTTTAATTTCCGTATTGATGGTCTTCTTCTTCTTCTTGTTGGTCCTCGAGCTGGCCTCGTCGGGGCTGTAGATGGTGACCAGGCCCTGCGGGTCCACCACCAGAACCCTGAGCATGGCGTCGGTTCGGTCGGAGTCCAGCGGTACCCGCGTCGTGTGGTCCAGCGTTTGGATGATCTGCCTCCACGGTCCGTTCTGGGCCTTGCGCATGACGACGTAGACCAGCGGCGTTCGCGCCTCCACCGAGGAGGGCCGAGGCCAGCGCGCCAATGCCCCCGACACCCGGATCACCCCTTCGCCCTTGGTGTGTATCACCGGCTCGGTTTGCTGCGTCCTCGCGGCGGCCATCGCGTGGAACCTGCAGGCCTCTTGGCAGCCGGGGAACTGCAACGAAAGAGCGATAGTTTAGTAAAAATCGAGCGTGGCAACGCCGCTCGATTTCGCCGTTTAAATTGCTTCCACACTCTTGCAGCCTTTCACGGAGCTAAACTAATATTCGTTTAATCTGCTTTGCGCCGAGAGCACTGTCTTGTTTCTACGTAAATACCATGCAAGATTTATTTTAAAGTTAGTTTAAAATCGAAACGGGCGAAAGGGGAAAAGTTGTTTACGCTGCGAAATTAACTCGCGCTTAATTCGAGCTCGTTCAAAACGAACTTAATTAACGAAATATTTTATAAACAATATGTTTTCCTTTTACAAAAAAATATTTACTTTACAGGTATAATTTGTACATGAGAATGGAACCTCAAAAACGCTTGCTGAGATACTTTTAATGAGATTAAATTCGCAAAATAGTTGGAATGGATTAATAAATTAATGGTTCATCAAGCATTGCATCACTAAACCTCCCTTAAGTATAAACTAACAAGGGAGTACTCCCGATACGTCGTAATCAATGTGATTAAATTAAACATGCATGCACACAGTTGCACACCATCGAGTATTGCCACTGTATTTACACTGGACAAGCAATCCTATATAAGCTTAAGGTATTAGTTAAACTGGCTGCTCCCATTAACTATGAACGTCCCAAGCAAAAAACTCTAACCAAATCCAAGCATAAGCCCAATACTATTTCTAAACTTCTTGTTTTTAGAGTAGAAAGAGTTATCGTTTGTGGATCGTAAATTTGTGGAAACTTAAATTGTACCAAAAAAGAGCGGTTGGAGTCGAAATTTCAGTGCGAAGAGTTCACTTCCGATCTCCATTGCGAATTTCCGAACCGCATCGGAGGATTAACTCGCCCGCGGATCCGTCGCTCAATCGCATCCGAGTCATCCGCAGACTAAATAGACTGCAGGTCTGCGCATTCCAGATAAGTAAATGCAATTGAAAAGGCAATTAAACTGCTGCTTCGGCGACGGATAAATTCGGAATCGGTTTCGATGCTGGCCGGTTTTTTGGGCTACTGGATTTGAATGTACAGTTCAAAACAACAAAGTCCATCAGGAAATCTATTAAAAAAATCGATAAAGGATGTTCACTACTAAGCGATTATAGTTGTAGAAGTTCTATAAGAGGAATTCCACAACTGTAAATCAATAAGGTGTTGTCAGTTCTAAATAAACCTCACCGAGAAAAAAGGAACGGTTCTTTTCGCTCGATATTAAATTACAACTCGACTACCCGAAGCGACGACATTCTTGAGGAATCAATCGACAATCTCGAAGACATCTTATCTATCAACAGGCACTCGTAACGCTACTCATCAAACAAACATACGCGAACTAGTTTATTTAATTAATCCGTCAAAAAACTTAATTAAAGATTATGATATTATCGTCTTGCGTTCCACTCGTCCGATAGGTCGCTGTACTCCCTGGCATAACGAGATTCTTTATTAAACAGTAAAGAAATAAACAATTATGAATACTAATTAATTTTGGTGAAAAATTATAAGCCGGGTGCAATAGTGAAAACGTTTTTCGCTCGATCGTTAAACAATGTCATCGAACCACCTTTGCGGATCCTGATTGCATGACAATTCCTCGTTATGTGCGTTCGACGTGAATGCTCCATTAATACGAAGCGATACGTAAGTGCACACAATGGTGCATGTTGTATTCGGCCAGCAACGAATTTTAAACGGACTACATTCCGATTCGGATACGTACGATTTAAATACGAGGCGCAGTGATTTCGCAGTTCCACTGACCAGAAATTAATTTCGGACGGAGAAAATATAGTACATTATGCTGTATTAAGCGTACGAGCCAACGCCAAAATTTAGAATCTAGCGTCTAAATAGCGATTGAATTGAACAGAAAATTCAATCCTAAAGTAATTAGGAATGATTGGATAAAGTCCCACGATAAAAAGTAATCTTTAAAGTGTGTAGAAAAGTAATGAGCAATATTCTTGTTGGTTTTTTTAACGCAATTGGAATGACTAGAACGGGATTGTTGTGAAAAATAAACCATAAACACTTACGCATATCTCTTTTTCCTCGCACATGGCGCCCCATACTTGGAAATTCGACTGGAGTAGTTCGCAGTTCTCCCAGCACTGTAACAGAAAATAATCGTAATTTAGATACATTATTCATAAAAATAATATTTTTACACAAAAGACTCCCGATTATCTGTACAACTAGTTTCATTTGATTTTATTGTCCAATAACGAGTAAAATCTCTCCATATAGAAACTCTTTGATGCATGGATATAAGTACCTGTCTATGTATAGTATAAAGTTAAATAATGTTAATAAAGATATCACGATTAAGTTTGTACTATTAAAAAGGATGATAAAGTAGAATCAAAATTTTATGGCCGTATACACAATAAGGACTTGGACTGCCTACATATACATACAAGAAATATCAACTTATAAAAATTATTTTAACGATTTTTATAAACGAGACTTTGTTTGCTCGGTTTGTTTAGATAAACCAAACAGATGGTTGAATTCTTCTCCGTGCTCCTTTTTTTTATTTTTTTATTCGTTCCGTTCTCGAATAAGCGTGTGAGTTGATTCGTTTGTTGAAATAATAGAGTGAAACTCTTCGAATGTGCTCGTTAATTTTTTTGTATCGAATTTATAACGACGGTTGAAAAACGAAATAAATTTTACGCCCTTAAAATATTTCGTATAAACACTTGATGCCTCGGCGCGTCGAATTTTTTCGATTGCTCCGTACTTATGCAAAGTAGATTGAATTAAAATTAGCGTTGCAGATGTCCGTCATGTGTTTATTCGTCTGTTATTATTATATTCATTAATTATTTCCTGTCTTCGCGTAATGGCGATTAGTTGTCTGGGCAGATCATTAAGACATTTGTGTGAACTCAACGAGAAATAGTTGTTTTAAAATTAGTCCATTGGGAAAATAGAAGAAAAAATGCGATAGAATCGAAGCACAATTAGAGAGCTTCAACAAGCCAAAGCGAACGTAATTTATTATTGGCATTTGATACATGTCGTGTAACATGTTTTAACCGAAATAAACTGGTCTTGGGCTAGTTCCAATACGTTCGATTATCCGAAGTTTCCTGGCTCTGCGCTTTACGCCGTTTTATAAATTCGAATTGGGTAAATTCGTAAGCCCGGCAGCAACCAGACCAACAAAAATTCAGTAGTGCATGTATACGCGTTCACAAAGATTCATGTAGAAATTTTCGAGGATATATTACAGGAGACTTTTAGAGCTTCCATGGGAAAAATAAACTTAGTGGGACTTGTAAAGAGTTGCAGTTTGTTTGCTCGAATTTACTGCTACGACACTAAAGTATGGCTATTTAAAGGCTTGTTTACCGAGTTTCCAGTGGCACGATTTCCTTATCGCCGCCCTTTTAATTTATCGTGTTTTCTTGTAAATAGTCTCGAAAGGTTATTATAATTTACCGTCTAATTTCGGTCGGAAATGAAATTGCTATTCATTCACTCTCACGTTTTAATTATAGGAATGAATTTAATTTCCGGATTGCGCTTGCTTAAGCTAATACAATTTTGGCCTGTTTAATAGGTGTTAGAAATAGATTCTGATATCGAGAGAAATTCTAAAATTATGCCTAACTATTTATTGAAAAAAAAAATCCTGCCATGTTCTATATTTAATGTGTCTCGTTTTTTTTTATTTAACATCAATTTCGTATTGTCGGATGTTCTGTAAGATATTATACAATAAGTACAAACTATTATCCCGTAGGCCTCGGAGCTAGACACTGCTACCAACCTATCATTACGTAAATTACAAAAAAGAACTAAACACCGGCTGTCAGTAATAATTGCGCGTGCTGGCACTTCTAAAATTCAATTTTTCTATTTCTCTATTACCTCCGGAGAACGTCATTACAACTACTGTTGTTTAACTTTAATAATTCGTTTCAAAATTGACTTCCAAAGAGAGACGAGAACCAGTTCCGACGTGTAGGAATACGAAGCGATTGAATAAAAAAACGACGTCGTTCCGGCGGTAATAATAAATTAAATTTTACATTAATCATTCCGCACTTACGGTTACTTCTCAATCAATCTTTCAAATAACGCAAAACAAATAAAGAAAATATTCGGAGTTCGGAGGTAAAATTATTGTTTTTATTTTTACCAGTAGGCGAACGGTATAATCAATCTTTCACACTTGGGGAGACGTGTTGTACAAATGTTTAAATTAATCATTCGGATTCCGAGACGATATCTACATACCTACTTGAATATTACTCAGGGATTTTTGTAAGAGAGTTGTATCACCAAGCAAAATTGTAATTGTTAAAGTTTAGTGAATTTCTAAGTGAGGCTATGTAGAATTGGTGTGGAAAATTGCATCGGGACTCGCAGAGAATTCACCAGCATCTCACATAATCCTCGTGATGGGACATCTAAGATGAGAGTGTCACCTCCATCTGCCCGGCGAATATCCGGGCGACAAGTCACAAATAGATTTCGAACATCGAACGCAACTAGTAGGACTAAAACTCAATGTCTGCCGCTGGTAAACTCCGATCTGTCACCGGCGCTTACAAGCAAAGTCCATTATGAAGATAACCTCGTTCGGATCGCCATTACGAAACTCGCGTCGAGCGGATTCGCCATCGCAAATGCGGTCGTTCGCGTTTGTTCCGGCGAGATCGAAGAACTCTTTTCAATCCTAAGTACAATGTACGCGCGGCGGGTGCGTGTGAAAGAGCGCGTGCACGTCGAAAGAGGGAAATCTAATCCGTTCTCGGGCGAGATACCTTCCCGCCAAAATCCTATTAGCTCGACAAAAAGCGCCGTAAATGGGAATTTCGATAAGTAATCGAACTAGTAATAGACCAATTTCGTTCGACAAAAGATTTGATTTTGAATATCGGAGAGATGAGTCGACGGGTAGATTGAAACCGCTCCCGGATGCGTTTCGATTCTATGGCTATCTAAACAAACCGAAGCTTTTGTAACGCTCCTTCTGAGTTTTACCGAATTCCCAGGAGGACAAGACCAATATCACGGCTCTAGGAAGAGCCTCTATAAGAACCAGAAAGATACCTTACAAAAATAATAAATTTAATCATCAACTTCATTCCGGCTAGATTGTTGTTCATCAATGGCTCAATTAAATTTACGAACTAAGTTGTAGTTAGAGTTTATAAGGATTAGTGTTTTCTGTTGCTCGTCGGAAGTAAACCAATAAACAAAATAGTTTCGGTCCTCTGAAGCAAACTTCACGAATTGGAGAATACTCGCGCATTAATTTAATCCCAACTCCTAGTAATTCGAACGGCTCACCTTCTATTTGTTTGATTAAATTCATTAAAGTTTTTAATTAAACGACCCGGACCGAGACACCGACCATCTCCATTTCGACCGGGTAAAATCCGAGCGAAACAATGAGGGCATTATTTATTAGTCGAAAGTAATTTAATTACGGGCACAATGTTTAACTTGTTTATTTTCCTTATTGGTTATGATTGCTCGTTTAAAAATGCCTTCTCATTCCGGTAATTTATCAAGTGTCCGGCCCGTTAGCTTTCGGCTGCGCGCCCGCTTAATGAATATGGATGGGAAGGTTTGCGTTCATCAAACGCCGGAATAGCAGCATTACAAACGCCTTCGACAGGACACGAATCGTCTTAATATCATAGAGACAATTACTCGATGACGGTACCGTCATACAAAAATCATCCAATCATCGAAATTAATATCTATTATTTCTTGATGAATCAATATTTTCATCTGAAAAAGTTGGAATATCAAGGAGTATGAATTTGATTAACAAAATCGATTCGAAGAGCTGCCAACTGGAATCTAGAAAATAATTTCTTGGTTTTTACTTGAGTATGCGAAGTATGTGAATTACGTTTTTCGAATAAGAATACACATGGAAAGCTGTAAGATATGATAAAGGTATAGGTAATAATACGAGTGGTTCTGGTGCGATGTAATTCAAAGTTGGTTTTAATCTAGACCGAGTTAGAACATCTGCGGTGTCAAAAGAACCAATATAAATTGTAATATAGAAGTAAAACGTTGGGCACGGCGAACTTACTGCATTTCTTACCCGATAATAAACTACAGCAGTTTAACATACGAGAAAATTTGTCCCATAACTCGCAATTATGCTGAAAATTTATGGCGATATAATTTTCCATTTTAGGCTAGAACATATGTGCAGGTTTTTCGGCTAAAAATTGCAACATACTCTTTCACTTTCAGCACGTTTTCAGTATACTTTTACCTCCACAAAAATACACAATTTTAGTATGTTAAATACCCTTTGAGCGACTTAATTTCCACTAATCTGCATTCGCTTGTTCAGCTGCTAATATTCTTACAGTGCATTTTCTGGTACGCAAATTACGATTTGAATATTTAGCAAACCCCGATCGAACCGGCGAACCGTGAACGGCGGAAAACCGAGTGTGCCCAACCGAAATCGAGTTCGAGATCGTCGCTTAACGCATTTTCCGGCTTGGTCGTCGCCGACAATGGCCTTTTCGGGAAAATAACTCCCGTTTCGGGAGTCAAAGCAAGAAGACGAATTGCGTGATAACGGAACGGTCCGCGCCACCGCCGCCGCCCCCGCCTCGCGACTTTCGACACTTTCTTAAAACGGGGGCGGCACCAGCCGGAAGAGCACTTCCTGCGAACCGGCTTCGGGTACAATTTGATCTTTCGATGTGCCTTCGGTTTGATAAAGAAAATTATTAAGAGATATATTTTATTGTATAAAATTGTTATAATTACATAGATGACAAAATAAAGTAATTAATGCGCTCGTGCACACTTCATGAAGTTAGTTATTTACCATATATGCAGGTGGTACAAAATGGGATAAAATTGTATTGTCTATAAAACACACGAACAAATAAATCAATCGAGATGCGGCTGGGAAATAGGAAAAGAGCGCGGAAAGTCGAAGCGTTGGCGCGAAAAAGTCGAAAGCAATCATTATTCGAAACATCATCAAATCGAGACGACCGCGTTCGAGTTGCGAAATTGCGAAATTTAATCTTTCGGCGCTTTTGTTTCCAATTTTCTGTGTTTTCCAAACTTCGTTACTACAGACGGGAATATCGGGGGTTGAACGAGC